ATCAATGTGCTTTGTAATAAGTATATTCGAATTATTTGTGCTAATGTATGTGGACAAAGAATGTGCTGAACAAGTGGTATTGCCGAATAGAAGCCAATGTGGACTTTAAAGATGTATATGTTTTAATACTATATATGCATGTGTGTTTGTATATAAAGTGTTCACAAATTATGTAGATTTTGTTAAACTGATTATTTGTATTCGTTTTAATATATGTATTTTGTAATATTCAGTGCTATTTTATCGTACCGTTTAGTTATTTCGAAAAAAATTTTATCATCTTTTTTGTTTTGAAAACTAACCAAAATTTAATCTTTATATATAAAAGTCACGTATCACGTTGTTTGTCGACGATGGACGTCTAAACTACTGAACCGATTAAAATTTGAATGCACACCGTGTACAATTTGATCCAACTTGAGAGACAGGATAGCTTAAATCTCAATTTATCATCGCAATATTATACTATTGCAAATTATGTATATTATTTGTCTATTATTTAAATCACAATTATTTGTTAGCTCCACCAGATTCTAACAGATGGCGATAATTATTGATTGGATTGAGTAAGTATTCAACAGAAGGCGTTATGCTAAGAATACAAACGTATAAGCTACAATTTAATGGCATAATCACTAATTATTTTAGTATTCAAATACAAAATAAATTTAGGTTATCAGGGGTGTTGTGGAATCCAAGAAAAAATTGCTTAGCTGTCAGAATTGGAAACCAATTCTGATTTCCAATGGTCACAGAATCTGATTGGATTTTCGTCTTTTCGATCATACGCAAAACCAATATTCGAACCATCTGTTTACTAGTGTGACAAAACTTGCATATGAATACGGAAGATTTTAAGAGATAACATTTATCGACTGAATAAAGACGCATTCGGGTGTTAAATTGCGTTTATTACGTTTTGTAAATCTAATATCTTTAAATATCCGGATTTTTTTCCAAAACTTCGAAATAATGAAATAACTTGATTTCTTAACTTACAATTCAAATCTGTTTTCTTTATTTCTGATAGCAAAATCTATAAAATTGATTTCCGTGATACCCAAAACCGATACAAATTCTATTTCGAATATCAATCCGATAATATCTGAATTCATGACACCTACTAATTTATTTGATCAGTTTCAATTCTGATTCCAGCAACTATCAGATCCCACAACACCCCTCTGTACCTTAGTTTCAGCAATACGTAGTTATTATGCTAATAGCATTTATGCAGAAAAAGTTGAATAAAAAAAAAATAACAACATGGTCCGAAATTTTCAGTAGCTTCCTAAAAATCCATTCTAAGCAGCTTTGGCCACTATTACGTAAAAAAAAAAAATAGTTTACAGCACCCCCCAGACCCTACTTCTCAAAATGACCATCTCCTGGCGGTTAGTCTACAAATGTAGACACCAAATAAAATGTAAGAAAATTCACATCACTCTTCCACTTAACTCTAATTTTTTTAATGCGATTTTTCAATAAGTAGGCTGTGCTTGCGTTACTGACTTTCAGCATATTTTGCAATAGCAATAATTGTTTTGGCAGTGATTTATATTCAGTATTAATATTGTGGTGATCAGTTTTGCATTGCTTCTCAAGCATTTCTTGGCGCATAATAATTTTATATAGCTGGAAAAACAACAATAAATATGTCTGGACATGCCTCAAACCTTCCGAAACGAGTCGTTAAACGGTAAGTGTATCTTTTTCCATGATATGGATGATATAAAAGAAAATTGTAAACACAGGCTAGGGTACGAAGAGGTTCAAAACCATATTGAGAATGTATTGAGTGAGGTTGATGAAGAAGCAGAAGAGGGCCAAGATTTTGATGATTCTACTGATAATTACGTACCACCTGGTATAAATCCCGAAGAATCTGATGCTGAAAACGAAATCATACTTGAAGAAGACGATATTCGATCCAATGAGCAGATAGAGGGCGTATTGTTTGAAGCAGATTACGAGAAAAAAGTGGATTTCGAGGAGGAGCAGGCAGATGAACAGCGTCTTGGTTCACTGGTTTCAAAAGACAACATTACGTGGGTTTCCAATGTGCCTAATCAAGCAATTCGAATGAGTGCTCATAATGTGTTTCGTGGCATTTTTATTGGCACATCTCCTGTTACCAAAGGACTCATTGAGTCAACTGTATTTGATTTGATTTTCACCCCATCGATGTTCGAACAAGCTCTAATTGATACTAACGCGAAAGCCGAAAAAACGTTTCAAAAGTGGAATGAACAAACCTCAACGGAAAAAAGAGAATGTGGAATAAAGAGACAATTGAGAGCATTCATTGGGCTCTTATTTTTGGCAAGTGTTAATAAGTCGAACGATGAAAACATTGTGTATTGTGGAGTACAGAAGCAGTTTGTTACTACCTTGCTGTAATGCCGAAATCTCGGTTCAAGAAAACTTTGTGGTTCATTCGGTTTGATAATGAGCGTACTAGAGCTTCTCGACTAGCAAATGATAATTCTGCTCCCATTTCTGCATCAACAATCTACCATGAGAACAGATAACAGTTGACGAACAACTATTTGCATATCGCGAGAACTAGATTCACGCAGTACATACCACCAAAGCCTGCAAAGTATGGCATACAAATCTGGTTCGCATGCTATGCAAAGTCTTTCTATCCTCTCAACTGCGAGATTTACACAGGAAAGGAATTGAATTTTAGTCGTGCAACTAATGTAAGAGAGAATGTCGTGCAAAGACTGGGGTCGAATCGTTACATCCGTGAACGTATCACTCGTTACATAAAATCCTGTATTTCGTATTATGACATACGTGATCGTAACACTTGTATCGTAATCTGGCATGATGACGTACGTGAGCGAGTATATAAACGTATCCGTTCAGACGAAATTTATTTCAAAATGTGAGTATATTGTAAATAATTTATAATTTTAGAAAATTTTTAATAATAAATCTATTTTAGGACAAATTATAATCAACCAAATCCTACACAAAAAGATGTAATGGTGGAATTCGTGTCAAGTCATCCATGCTTGGCAAAAAATAACTTTCCAAACTCTGCGCTAGGAAGAATTACTTCCAATAAATTATGGGACTAACTGGCCAAGCAGCTTAATGCCAGGGGGCCACCAGTTAAAGATGCTAAGTTGTGAAGGAAGGTATGTATACAATTTATATGCAATATACTTTGATAAAATAATAATTTTTTATGATTTTTTTAGGTTTTTGCTGATCAAAAATACCAAGCAAAATAGAAGCTTTCCTTCAAAAAATCATCGAAGCAGCGAACTGGAGGAGGGCACTATAACGAAAAACTGATCACTGCAACGGACGAATTGTTAATCGAAGCAGCTGGACTCGAAGCTTGCGTAGAGGGCATAACAAATGTTTCTGCATTTGGAAATAACCCAACTACGCCAGCTTCGACATTTGCCGTTAACTGTGATAGCAGTGATGAGGAGGCAAACCCTTTCCCCAGCTCCTTACCAGGCCCAACAACTTCTAGACAGTCGCTACTCGCTACAACCACAAAAACGTCAACAGAAAAGATTCCACGCACACCGAGAAGAAAAAGTAGGAGTGACGAAAAGTTGGAGTTACTTCAACAAAACATGAAGTCGCTCTCAGCTTTTCAAAAAGGCATAGACCAGACGCTTGAGAGGTTAGTAGCACCTCAAGAAAAAATGCTGGCAATACAGGAAAAAATGGTTGCTATGAAGATGGAAAAGCACCGCATCCAACAGTCGACACGGGAATTAGACCACGAAATAAAAAAATTGGAACTCGAAACCTTACCAAGAAATTTATTTTAAAACCTGTTACATGAATGTAAATATTTTTGGTTTAAGCACTTAATGAATTTTTATACTCTCGTAACAAAGTTACTAAAGAGAGTATTATAGTTTTGTTCACATAACGGTTGTTTGTAAGTCCTAAAACTAAAAAAGTCAGATATAGGGTTATATACACCAAAGTGATCAGGGTGACGAGTAGAGTTGAAATCCGGATGTCTGTCTGTCCGTCCGTCCATCTGTCCGTCTGTCCGTCCGTCCGTGCAAGCTGTAACTTGAGTAGAAATTCAAATATCATGATGAAACTTGGTACACGTATTTCCTGGCTCCATAAGAAGGTTAAGTTCGAAGAAACTGGCGAAAACCGAAAACCTATAAAGTGTCATAACTAAAGATATTAAAGTGAACAAAGGATCGCATTAGGGAGTGGCATATTTGGACGTAATTTTTGTGAAAAAGTGGGCGTGGCCCCGGCCCCTACTAAGTTTTTTGTACATATCTCGGAAACTACTATAGCTATGTCAACCAAACTGTACAGAGTCGTTTATTTTAGGCATTTCCATATACAGTTCAAAAATGGAAGAAATCGGATAATAACCACGCAAACCTCCCATACAAAGGTTATGTTGAAAATCACTAAATGTGCTTTAACCGACTAACAAAAAACGTCAGAAACGCTAAATTTTAAGGAAGAAATATCAAAAAGAATCTGCACCCAGTCTTTCTTTAAAACTTGAAAATGGGCGTGGCGTCGCCCACTTATGAACCACAAACCATATCTCAGTAACTACTCGACCGATTTCAATGAAATTCGGTACATAATAGTTCCTTAACATCCTAATGATATGTACGAAATATGGGTGAAATCGGTTTACATCCACGCCTTCTTCCAATTTAACGCTATTTTGAATTCCATCTGATGCCTTCTCTGTATAATATATACATTAGGAACTAATGATGATAGCGGAATAAAACTTTACACAAATACGGTATTTGATGCGAGAGTATAAAATGTTCGGTGACACCCGAACTTAGCCCTTCCTTACTTGTTAGTTTAAGCATTTAATGAATTTTTTTAATTTAATAGAGCGTAATTTGTTTTTGAATATTATTTATGTAAAATTTTAGAAATGTGATAAAAGCACCAAACGTGATGAAACGACTAATTAAAATAAAAATAATGAATTTATATGAACAAAATTTTTGTATTTCGGTTTAGAAGGAAAAAAATATTTACAAGGGTAACGACATAGACATTTTCATCTTGAATTTATTAAAGAGTGCTTTATTTTATCTCTTATTGTTTGGCAGATTGCGGTGAGGCGGTTCGCTACCTCGGTGTCGATATCCGTTGCTTGGTCAGAATCGCAATTCTGAGGATCATAATTTATTTTAAATTTTATGCAGATGTTGTGTAATGCTGCACAAACGTTAGCAAATCTTGCCACTTTTGTCGGATGGTACCTTCCTCTCTTACCATATCCTAAAATTCTCCAGCGCCCTTTTAAAATTCCGATAGTTCGTTCGACGATACATTTTGCCTTGGAATGAATTTCATTAAACATAGCTTCTTTTGCATCATTCGAAGCGTTTCTGTAAGAAGTTATGCACCATGGTTCCAATGGGTAGCCAGAATCCCCTGTTAAAATATAAATAAAATCAATGTGGTAAAAAGAAGAAAATGAAGATATATGTAACTAAAAGCCATGAATTTTCATTCCTGTTGTGCTGAAATCGTAATATAAATATTTTAGCTGTGAAGTATATATTTACCTCCAGGAATTTTATGTTGCTGCACAAACCACTCTTTACACGTAAGGGAATCCTCTGGTGTAAACCGTATAAACTGCGGGCACAACTTGGCTTCCATTTCTTTAAGCACATGGGATGTCAGCTTCGAAACAGTGCTTTGACAAATCCCAATCAAATATTCACTGCCTACACTGTGCTGGTATCCACCGCTAGCCAAAGTGAGAGCGTGGTTGCTAATTGTAGCACTGGAGGCACTGCTCTGACGTTAGATTGCGTTAAACATATGTGACCTGGTCTACGGAAGGGGGGCTGAGGTGTCAAAAAATCTTAATTGATTCGGATGGAAGATGAGATGCTTTTTCACGTGATAGAATCCAAAAAGTCATAAACTAGTTTTCACACGTTAGCTCCCTTTTCGTAGACCAGGTCACATATATTATTTAGGACATATTCAAAAGCCTCTTTAGTTAGACGAAATCGTTTTAAAAATCTGCAAAGAAATCTTCATTAACGAGGTTTCATGATTTATTTTTTATATACCTACGCTGTATTCGGCAGTGCCAAAGGATTGCTCCTATCTCTTAGTTGCCTCCGCACTATTTTTTCATCCCCTTCACTCTCACTAGAGCTCAAATAAAAAACAAAGTCGGATCCATCTTGATATTCAACCATTTGATATTTAAACTAACAAATTGATTGAATATTTTGCAACAGTTTTGACAGTATATCCACTGTATATCCTTAAATACAACGCTACTAAAGGAGGCGTCGATTCAATGGACAAAATGCACTTCCACTTAACGGAAAACTTTGCGTTGGCAATGTTTTTTAACATGCCAGATATAAGCGCTCTAGCCGGATTCATTATATATTCTGAAAACAACGACCATATCCAACAAACAGACAAACAACGAAAGTTCCTGCGATGAATTGCGAAACAGCTTTTCATGCCAGCAATTGAATAGCGCTCCGAAAATCCAAGGGTATTAGGTCATGCTCTAACACGTCTGGCTATTGAAATGGCACTCGGTAGTTCTCCTGTTTCTGGCACTATTGCGAACCACTTGCCTAATATTTGTAACGTCTTTCAACCTATGCACCTTGTACGTTGTCAAAATTGTGAAGCTGGAAAGCGTAAAACCACACGCCAGATTAGCAGTTGGTGTAAAAAACCTGTATGTGGCACATATGCCACAACAAATACTTTAGGTAAATGTTGTACCATGAATAATATTTAAACATTTTCAACTTAACTATGTATCTCAAAATCATATATTACATACTAAATATGCACTCAAGTATAGAACTCTTCAGCCAGTGTTTTCGTTCGTATGTTAACATAGTTTTCCATACAAATACATAATTGCTACAAATGGAGACTTCCGACCGCCAACGTAATTTTACAATCCCGAGCACATAAAGGTTAACATAGCGCCATCTTTTGAAGACTTATTCAATCCAGCCAACAGTTAACGTCATCTGTTAAAATATTTTGGAGCTAACGGATAATTTTGACTGTCAAATAATAAATAAAGAATTTAAAACTAAATAATATTGCGATTATAAATTGAAATGTAAGCTATCTATGTATCAACAGAAAAAAATTGGAATAAAATATTCAATTATTCTTACATCTTAAATTTTTGATGTTAGCATAACCGATTATATGTTACTTAGAGTGAAGTAAATTAAATTCTTTTATAGTGAAGAGAATACAGTGAAGTTATACTAGCTTTTAAATTATTTGTGCTTAATTGTTTAAAAATGTTTGATTAAAACTAATTGACTTAATTGTGCATGTAAGTATTATCACATAGTTGTATTATTAAATTTGCTATGCATCAAATCACAATGTGTGATACATATATGTAACTAAATTTGGTAATCGAGATATTTATTTTCCGCTTGCTTCTCATGTTATTGATTTATTTATTAATGATAATTAATCGATTTACAAAAATGTATTTACCAATTTGCAGATAATTTAACGGTGATTAATAATGCTATATCTAAAAATTAATTAATATACTACTGTGATCAAATTGAAAGGGGAATTTTGTCGACTTCATTTCCTTCGAAGTATTCCCCTGCCGCTGCAATGCACTTATGCCAACGAATTTTCGAGTCATCTATGCACTTCGAAAAATTATCCGTCGTGATGGCCATCCGAGGCTTCTTCGATTCAGTTTTTATATCCTCAATTGAGTCAAAACGGTGTCCTCGGACTGGTCATGTGAATTTGCTAAATAGCCAGAGGTTACACGAAGGTAAATCAGGTGAGTGCGGTGGTTGCGGCGCGATATTAATTGAAAATGTGGCGAAATGATCACGAATAAACAATGAGATGGTCCATTATTGCACTTCTTTGTTCAATAAATTCAGACATAGTAAAAATCGAGGAATTCAATTTTAGAGCCTCACAAAACAAGCCGTATCTCAAATACTAATGAATAATTTGCCGTGAAGTTTGGCATAGATGTCACTAACAGTAGTACCGACTTAAAGAAAATAAAATTTACCGATTCGAAAAAGACACGAAGTATAAATTAAAAATACCTTTCAGTTTTATCACTGTAGTATGAATGTTTACACCTGGAAGAGAGGGCGAAAGCGAAGTGGGTAATGCGACAGTATGCTCCCGTTTACACTTTGTGTATAATTTGTTTATATAGATTAAATGCCGTATGTTTGTGTATACTTGTATATATATTTTATTTTTTTGCAAAGGTGAGAGAGCGAGAAAACGGACTGGAAAAATTGTAAGTACTTATATATTCTTAATATAAAATGAAAGCAAGTGTATTTATTATGTATGTATGTATGCTTGAATTTAGTTTTGTTCGTTGATATTGCTGGTTGTGTTTTTAAACTCCATTTTTCTCATTTGTTTATCCTGCTTATGATTTTTTTTTCAACGGATGAGGTGTTGCTTAGTATAAATAGGCAAAAAGTTATTAGCCAGTGATATAAGTACGTATGAGTATATAAGTGAATATATGTAAGGCCGGATTATTTTCGTTAAAATAATGAACTGAATACGCTCACTTTACTTTTGTAGGGTATATTGCTCGTTTTGTTCCAATTCCTTTCCTCATGTATCCACCTGCTTGTCTCCTTGTGCGTATTGCTAAATTTTAGTAAGTCTTACCCGTCCCCTTAATTTTGGAGCCTCAATAGTATTTTTTTAGAACGAAATTAATTTTTTTCTTGTTGATTATTTTTTTATAATGGTAACTAATTGTCACCTCTGTTTTGGTTTTTGTAAATTTTATTGGGATATAATACCATCAGTTTTATATGTGCCCAAAAAATAAGGTGACATTGTATTTATTTTGAAAATTCGTTATTTATTCTTCCAAATCAATTTCATTCTCTTTAAAGTAATCCCCACTAGATGTAGTACATTATGCCAACGGATTTTCCAATCATGGAAACACTGGTTGTAGTCACTTTCAGGGATGGCCTTCAGTCTTCGGCTTGAATATCGTATAAAAACGGTGTCCCCGAAGCGGTCTTTTGAGCTTGGTGAACAGCCAGAAGTCACACGGCACCACATCAGGTGAATACGGTGGTTGCGGAACGATGTGGGTTGAGGTTTTGGCGAAATTATCACTTAATGCAAATTCTTTGCTCAACAAATTTCGACATCGCAAAAAACGAAAAACTCACTTTTAGCAGCTCACAAAACGACACGTATATCAAACGCTAATGAATATTTTGACATGAATTTTGACAGAAATGTGACTGACAGTACTACCAACCTAAAAAAAAAATAATTCTCCAAATCCTTCGAAGCGCGTAGTTTAAATTCAAATGTCAGCGTTTTTTTTTTGGGCACAGATACTAGGGGATGCGGCCACGCGTTGCTGTGGTATATATTTTACATTATTATTCATATAATAAATTATTCAATGTAGTGAAAATTTTATAAACGAATAAAGGTGGAAACGTTTTTGTTGGTATAAGAATCCAAGGGATTGTACTTGAGGTTTAATTTTGAATATGTTCATACAAATAAATTTATTTGCAAAAAAAAAAACCAATTTAAGGCTGCTTTCTCAACGTCTAGTTACCGGCTTTTCAGTCCAGTTAATAGAGTTATCCGCTTTATTGAGCGTCCATTTATTTGAGCCTTCACTGTATGTTTTTATTTATAAATTGTTTTTACTATCCTATCTTCTAAGTAATTAGGTTCGAACTGGACACAATGTTTAGTTTAGGAGTCCATCGCGGACAAACAACGTGACACGTACGGTTTTTATATAAAGATGTACATTTGTGTATGCATATCTTTTGGGAGCCGCTCCACTTTATTTTTTATTTTTTTATTTTAGCTCACTGCGGTCTTTTGATTTGATTTTTTTTTTTGGGTTTGTTATATATGTATGTATGTATGTATGTACATATATAATAGTTTTTTTTTTTGTTTTGTGTCACTGCACTTTGCTACCGAACTTAGTTTTGTGTTTTAGTATATACATATGAATGTATGATTATTTTCGCAGTTTTTATCACCACTTTTATAATTATTTCTTTATTTTGACTTTAGTTTTTCCAATAGAGAATTTCTGTAAAGCTCTAAGAACCATGAATAAATGTATAGCCACTGTTTCCACCTTTTAATAAAAAAATACTCATGGATGTCAAGTTTAAAATGCATTTAATTTGCAGAGGAAATTGTTCATTTTTACAATAAAATATGCAAAAGTAAATGTATTGGTGCACTGATCTAAAATCGGTACGTAAGGTCGACGGTGATCAAACGAATCGTAATCCAATTCAAGTATGGATGCTTTAGCGAAGGACGTTGTAGCCGGGTGGTGACGACGGCAGCGCATGGGTTAGGTGTTGATAAACGAATGTATTCTTAGCGATGATTCAATTCCTTTTTTGTCTTGTTCGATGTGTGGTGATCAAGAGGTGTCATCGGTGAGTGTGGTGGGGTTCTCAAGTGTGATGTGTTGTACTAGGGTACGCAAATTTTTCCCGAATAGAGTAGCCAGGTAGAACGACGCTTAGCTCATTTAAATACAGCACCTATAATCAAAAATGGTAAATGTTTAATTTGTTCCTTAGATGAATTGCATTTAAAAATAAAAAATTTAATCGTGTTCAATTTATTTACCTGTTGATTGATTTTGATTGATGAACACACGTCTTAAATCACTATTACGACGATGAATATCTATAGATTGTAAATTTTCTTCTACAATGGCAACATCCACTTCGTCAATGGTAGGTGAATTGAAACTCCTTGTGCGTTCACCGGCAGGTGTTTTGTCGACTCGAATGGTAATATTATGGTAATGCTATTGTGAACATGTTTATTAAAATTTTATTCTGACAAAGAAACATTTGTAATTCTTGGGCAATGGTTCTCTGCACTGTTGGATTATGAGCACAACGATTCATGTGTGGAAGATGAATTTCTTAGCAAATAAATGTTTAAAAATTAAGGATCCGCATCAGGTAGTGATAACAGTGCCCCAACTAAGCGATAAATTTATTTTTGTATCTGTAATTTTTAAAAATGTTTCCATTAATTATTCCCGCTATAAATATTTGAGTACCAGAATATTTTAAAAAAATATTCCTCGAAAGTGGCCATGAACTTGTCTTGTATAATATGTGTAGCGCCAAATCATGTCCTCTGAAAACAGCTGTTACACATATTTTTAAAGAGCGCAAAGTATTTGGTGGTGGGACCAATTGTGCCAATTTTACTTTTCCTCCAGCACAACGTAATTAAGTAAATTCACCAGTGTAGTTTACCGTCCTACAAAATTTACATATATTTTCGTTTCTCCAATTGTTGCCGATTAGTCGATTACCGGATCATAGCGAAATACAGCTCGTTCAAGAATCACAGGATCAATGCGGCGGTGAATTTCATTATGTTGTTCTTGCTGTTGATGTGCACGAACTCGTTGCATTCTACGCCTATCTACTTCAATGTCACTCACTAAATAGCGCCATAGAAATACAACTATGTTCTTAATCTGTCTTTCTCTGGTTATTAGTGCGGTAAGTACCTGAAATACCTCTCGCACTTTTGATTAACTGCAACAACAACTGCCAGGTCGTTTTCTCCTCGGCATCATAAATTGTAATTAATTAAATTTATAAAATTTCTCGCTCACTTAGCACCACTTACTCACTGGCAAAAACGGTAAATAGAGATAAGAGCATTCAAACACGCGCGCATTGAGAATAAACGGCATTCAAACCACAGTTTGCAAGTTAAAAACCAGTAATGTGAAAATGATATTCTAGCTGACCCGGCAGGTTTCGTACTGGCTCAATCGATAATTAAAGGACAAACAGAAGTAATAATGGAAAGAATTCTTTAAACGAGTGAAATTTTATTATTATTTTCTATTATTAACACATAATGTTGCTTATTTTCAAAACAGAGTTTCCCTGAAAAACTGGCAATTTATTAGGTTTCAATTTGATATTGACAGACACATACAGTTATGATACATTTTGTTAATCAATTTATCAATTATAAATAATATTTTCTGTTTTGTTTTTGATGCGTAGGAGGATGGAGTCAAGTGTTAAAGTTCACGCAAGTGAGGAAAGTTCTCTGATCGCCAGAAATTTTTCTTTTACATATGTACCAAAAGATGCAGCGACTAAAAGAAAGTTTCAAGACCGGAGCATACTCTTGTAAACCCTCCAGAGGTGATCTGGTAACCAATGCTCAAAGCATACTGAACTTATAGAGGGAACACTTCTTCAGCCTGCTGAATGGCAGTGAAAGCATAACGCCAGGAGAAGACGAACCCGATTCCCCAATCGATGGCGATGGAGCAGACGTTTCATTGCCCGACCACAAAGAAGTTCGAATCGCAAATACTCGTATGGAGAACAACAAAGCAGCGGGGTCCGAAGGATTACGGGCCGAGCTATTCAAACATGGCAGCTAAGAAGTGATAAGGAGCATGCATTAACTTCTATGTACAATATGGTCGGACGAAAGCATGCCTAACGATTGGAATTTAAATCTGCTCTGACCAATTCACAAAAAGGGAGAACCACAATCTGCGCCAACTAAAGTGGGATATGCCTCCTCAACATCGCATGTAAGGTTCTATCGAGCTATTATGTGAACGATTAAAGCCCACCGTCAACAAACTGATTAGACCTTATCAATGTGGCTTTAGACCTGGAAAATAAACAACCGATCATATATTCACCATGCGCCAAATCTTGGAAACTGCTTTTGACAGCACGAAAAGGAGCTGCTTTTATGCCGCGATATCTGAATTTGTTATCCCAACAAAACTAGTACGGCTGTGTAAACTGACTTTGAGCAATACCAAAAGTTTCGTCAGGATCGGAAAAGACCACTCAGAGCCGTTCGATACCAAATGCGATTTCGGACAAGGCGACTCCCTTTCTTGCGATTTATTCAATCTGCTTTTGAAAAAAGTAATTCGAGCTACAGAACTTAATTGAGCAGGTACAATCTTCTATAAGAGTGTACAGCTGCTGGCGTATGCCGATGATATTGATATCATTGACCTCAACAACCGCGCCGTTAGTTCTGCTTTTCCCAGACTAGATAAGGAAGCGAAGCAGATGGGTTTGGCAGTGAACGAGGGCAAGACGAAATTTCTCCTGTCATAAACGAAACAATCATCGCACTCGCGACTAGGCTCCCACGTCATTGTTGACAGTGACAACTTCGAAGTTATAGATAATTTCGTCTATCTTGGAACCAGCAACGACAATGTCAGCCCGGAAATTCTACGCAGAATATATGATATCTTACCAACAGGTGCTACTTTGGACTGAGTAGGCAATTGAGAAGTAAAGTTCTCTCCCGACGAACAAAAACAAAACTCTATAAGTCACTCATAATTCCCGTCCTACTATATGGTGCAGAGGCATGGGCGATGACAACATCTGATAAGTCGGCCTTAGGAGTTATCGAGAGAAAGTTCTGCGAACGATTTATGGTCCTTTGCGCGTTGACCATTTCGAATGTCGCATTCGATGGAACGATGAGCTGTATGAGATATACGACGACATTGACATAGTTCAGCGATTTAAAAGACATCGGCTACGATGGCTAGGTTATGGTATCCAGAAGGACGAAGACACTCCAGCCCTGAAAGTATTGGACGCAGTACCCGCCGGGGGAGGCAGATGGAAACCTCCACTTCGTTGGAAAGACCAGGTGGAGAAGGGCCTGCCTTTGCCTGGCATTTCCAATTGGCGCTACGTTGCGAAAAGGAGAAACGACTTGCGCGCTGTTGTTAACTGGGCTATAATCGCCTAAGCGGTGTCTACGCTAGTAAAGAAAGAAGAAGAAGAAATAAACAAAGATGACGGTTTATTGGCGTGCGAGCACGCGGTGCATAATTGGCCATGTGCGAAACAGGATTCCGTCAATTTAAAGAACAGTACATTCATAAAGATGTAAAAACATCTTCACAGGCTCTGCAGCTGCATCGTATATCGTCACACACATCCATATATGCTTCTTGTTATTGTGAATAACAGATAGAGCAGAAAAGGGCGCGTCTCACGCCCTACATATAATCATGTGGTAATGTTTTGTTCAACATCCACCGAATGCAATTACAAAATCGACGACTAAAACCCAGATACTACACTTAAGAAAACAGAAACTTGATCGTTCCTTTTAAATTTTTCATTGTTCTGTGCAATGTTTCAGGAGCATTTGTCAGCTATTATGCACTCACGTCAAATTATGATTCAACCTTTTCTTATTCAGTTACAACTATCATTATAATTCATATATAATATATGTGTATGTAAACAAAAAACTTTGTACCTTGCCACTAGCTATGTGATTTCATTTTCTATTTTGAAAAAAAAAATGTTCAAATGATTCTTATATGAAGATTGAAGGCATGCTCATGTTTTGAAACATAGTCTTTTTTATTTATCAATTGTTGTGAGTTTTAACATAAAACGATGTCCGTGGCCAGGTTTCAAGCTATCTCATCACCACTTTTCTTCCAAATCGGTTCAGCCGTTCTTGAATTTATTAATACAGATTGACATAAATTGCGAAATCGAAGAACCTTCTCCAGGACTAAGAAAAAGATATACATAGTTACTAGGGGATCCGCATTTCTGTGGTATATATTTAATACTATTATTCAATATAGGGAAAATTTTGTTGACGAAAAAAAGCGAAAACGTTTTTGTCGATATAAGAATTCAAGGGATTGTATTTGAGGTTTAATTTTGAATATGTTCATACAAATAAATTTCATTGGAAAAAATTGCGACTTTAAAGCTGCGTTCTCAATGTATGGTTACCAGCATCCAGTTAATAAAGTTGTCCACCTAATAGATTTTACTTAATAAACATCAACAATGCGCGTGGTTAAAGAAGATTATGCGTCCATTTAAGAGAGCCTCCACTGTATTTATTACTTATAAATTGTTTTTACTATCCTATCTTCTAAGTTGGTTTGAACTGGGCACAATGTACTAAACTTTACTAAAATTGGTTCATAAGGATCCATCGCGTACAAACAACGTGACACATACTTTTTATATATAAAGATAGATAAAGATAGATAATGCAGCAACTGCAAAATTTTTAACCTTGTTATCTAACGAAAATTGCCATATTTGACACAACATGTCAAAGAGAAATATGCAATTTCAGCATTTGAAAAGCTAAAGCAGTTGCTTATAAACCAAACTGAGTTAGTTAAACCAGATTTTACTAAAAAAATTGTTTTTATATACAGCAATAGGTGCAGTATTACCACAAAATGATAAACCTATTGCTTTTATTTCTAAAAACACTTATTAAAACTGAGCAAAGCTATGAAAAAGCGAAAAAGAACTGGGCAATAAAAGCTTTACGCAACTAGTTATATTTACGACGTGAAAAATATGCTGGCATGATTCCGGCCAGATGAGTAGCAAAAAACAAAAAAATTTTAAAAGTTTATTAAACTTAAAGATATTTCCTACGCAATGATCTACGATCTTTGAAAAATTTCGAAAATTAACAAAATGGCGTAATTTTCAATATTTTTTATATGGTAAAAAATGGTAGTTTTTTAATGCCAAATTGACCGATCAAGAAGATCGTAGGTCGTTGTATAGCAAATGTATTCAAAAATACTACCATGCTAACATGCACGAGTAACATACAAAAAACTAATCATATAGAGTAAAGTCAAGCGGATGTTCGAAATTCCTGATATTAGTTATGCAGTCAATTTCGCTCATTATTTTTATTTTTGGCACAAAGATATACTGTTATTAGTAAAACACGCTAGCTAATTTTCATTGAGATGACTCACATATTGGCCGATATATGCTGTAAAAAGTCAGCCAGAAGTTCGAAAATCTTTATATCAAGTATATGGGGGCTGGTCCAATTCACATTTTTGACATACAGACATACCATTGTCAGGGAAGTACTATCCCTGAATTTCAATTATACACCTCAGACATTGACCGATACTTTCTAACAAAAGGCAACTATCAGTGCCGGGGTCTAAATATTCGGCACCTAAAGGCGTGAACAGTTTTTATTGGATTTGAACAATTCTTGGTCATAAAGTGGTATACACTAAGTTAATTATTCGTGCAAAGTTTAATTCCGTTATTTTAATTGCTTCCTGATTTGCGTACTGGAAACTAAAATCAAATGGAATTTAAAATTGTGCTATACACAAAGTAGGCGTAGTTATTGACCGATTTCGCTCATTTTCATAACGTGACTTTGCGAAATCGGTCGGTCGGGTAACGAGATATGGGACTTCATCGAAAAGTGGGTGGTGCCACGCCGTCGTCCAATTTTCACACCTGCGCCTATAAAGCTTTGTCATACCATTTCGGCATAAAATTTGCACGTCTCTGGTTCATTTAGTTGTTGATTAATCGCGCTTTTAGTAGTTTTTAACAGTACCGTTATATGGGGAGTGAGGGGTTATCCTCCGATTTCATGCACTTACTTACTGTCGGTAGAAAATCCAATAAGATTTGTACTCAGCAAATTTGCAAAGATATACACATTACACTTAATAGAGAGCGGGGCTACGCTCACTTTTTTCCCCACAGACGCGCCTTCTTACTCGGATCCCAGGTGCCAAACAAGAGTTTTATATTTTAAATAGGTACTTAGTTATGGGACTTTATACGTTTTCGGCTAATGGCGATTTGTAGGCGTGGAAGTGGTCCGCTTACGCCCATCTTCGAACTGAAATTTTTTGAAACTAGTGTATTAAGTTTCATCGAGATATCGTAATTTTTACTCAAGTTACAGTTTGCACGGACGGATAGATTTTAAAAATGAACATTTTCTAATTCACAACCCATCCTCGTTGGATTCCCTTCAAAGTGGTTAAGGTCATTTTTAATTTAATGCAACGGTTTTGTCAGCTATAGCAAACAAACAAAAACTCAACCTATTTTTATGTATGTATAAGAAAGGGATATAGTACTTATATTAAATTCACTTGTTACAAAA